AGTGCAGGATTAACAAATTGGACAAAGGTAACCTCATTTTAATATGCATTATACTGATACTCACTGCTCAGGTGTAAGATCCAACCATCTTCTACACCTGAAATGTGTATATAGATAGCTAAAAGCATCATAATAGATGCAGCCTGAGCCTGAATCTGGAGTTCTAACGATTGGATTCTCTAACACCCAATAAGAGTAGAGTGAAGCTACAGCTGTTCCTTCAATGCAGAGGAGGCAAATCCCTGCTAGGACACCTGACTGCTTTGGCTGACTAATTAATTATCTTTGAGTTTGCTCAAAATCTAATTGTAACTGTCTTACTAGATTCACTGGTTAAATTTGGGATTGCTTTCCAGGGCATTCTAAGCTGGGACTTGCGCTCTACAAGTGTTGCTGAATGTCTAGGTTTAAGGACTGCAGTTCTGTAGAGAGAATGGAGAGGTGAGTCAGGGTCTCTATCTTGTTTTAAAGCTAGTGGGCCAAGGGCAGACAGAGGCCTCTGGATGCTGTTTCCAAGAGATATTGTTAAGAATGCTGAATTCAAATGAGAGTTTTAGAGAAACAATGGAAGTAAAAAAAGTTGATTGCTTTCAGTAATGCAACACTGTATCTCAACAACATCAGAGCTCTGAATCATCAGAGATAAATCTTCTGGCAGGCTCCTTTGAGTCTCAGAGCTGTTGGAAACCCAAGGATGTGCATTTGGAGTGGTAAGAAAAGCAGCCTCAGGTTTTGCTGGGATGCACAAAGCAGCAGATTACTTGTAGCCTGTAGTTTGTGGCACACAGTGGAGTTGTAGGAAGGGAAGATCATATGTGTGATCTTTGAGAGAGCTATAGCAAAATGACATCTACCTTGAAACTAGATTAGAGTTGGACATTTTTGGTCAATCAGAAGATTCTATATTGCGAGATGAGTTGGTCTTGTGAAGAGGTGAACCAATTACAACTCCAGCACTCTGCCTCTGGGTATATCTGGTGGTGCCAGATATCTCTAGGTATACTCTGCCTGGTGTCTTTCCTACCTGCTGATGTTTGTGGTTGCTGCAGCTTTCTTTGACTGGCTGTTAGGCAAATATGGCAGCCCAGCTTCCAGTATGGTTTTGGATGAAATTTAAGATCAAGCTTGAAGTATTGTATTTTCCATCACCTTCCTCCAAAATTTGGAAAGTTTTCATCCTCTTGGACTTGCATCTAACTAGCTTGGAAATTGGAAGAAGTTTTGTGTTCAGATTTCTTTTCTGAGGGGGGAGGAAGCCAAAACCCCAAAGTAAACAAAGATGATCCATTAAAATATCAAGTTCCACCTATCCCCTTCTGGGACTTAATTCTAACTGCATGTAGACTTCACTGATTTATCTGAAGTGGCAATAAAAAAAGATTTTAAGAACAAAACTAGGGTAGAAACAAGCAGTTACATTAGTAGAACATAACATTAATGCCACCTGTAGAAATGGTTAATATTTTTGCAGTACTGTGCCGTCAATACGGTGAAACTCTTGCACAGACTGCTGTGGGCACAGGCAGGAATACTTGAAACAGCATTGTGAAGAATAAGGAGGAAAACCACCCATCAGAGCTGTCACTACAGCTGTTGTAGTTGTGTGACCAGAGCCCACAGGTTTTACTGTAGCATAATCCAAACCGTGTTAGCAATAGATGTCTTGATCTGTGCCAGCAACAGCTTCTCATTCTGTGGCACTTCATTTAGTTTTCAAGTGCTTCAAGGCACCTACTGAAACATTTTTGAGTGTCATTTGAGAGTGTTAATGTGTTATATAAAAGTAGCAGGGAAAAAAACCTGCGACTTTTCCACTGGGCTTTTGTAAACTAGAGCTTAATTCAGTGAACTAATTTAATTCTTCTGTCCCGTGGGTTCTTGCAACAGAAAGCATTATTCAGTTCTAAAGTCTCGGGTTCTTTTTAAGGAATTTTTAAATTTTCCAGCAGATTTTGAGATTCTGTACCAAAATGCTATTGACTTTTCAGCCATCTCAATGGATGACTCTTCCTGGGATCAGTGAAACTCATGAATATTCTAAGCAGCAAGAAATATATCAAATCTAGTACACTTCCTGCAGTTCAGTGAATGCAACTTGTAAGCATTCACAGATGCTGTTCCTTAACAAGGCTTTTGTAAGGTTTTACTGCTGTCAGCAGCACGTCAGATGTGATACTGTTCGCTGCCAAAACAATGTATTAGAAGTGTCTTTCCATCCTTAGAAAAGCTGATTTTGTAAACCTCTCATTAATTTCTCTTGGATTACAATTCCTATGTGGTGTTTGTTCTGACATCATATAAAGTTTGACCAGCTTTTTGCCTTCACAAGGAACAGGCTTCATTGAATAACTAGTCAATGAAAGTAAAATTCCTTTCCTTCCAGGCTGCATTCTGGAAGGTTTGTTTAACTGTTATGTTTCTTTAAAAAACCTGAAAACTGAAAGCTTGCAAAAGCCATGAGCATGCCTAAATCTTTTGTATTGAAGTGTTAATTAGAACCTTCTCTATGTTTACACTTTTTTCTTCCCCCTTTTTAAATATACCAGCTTCCTGGTTAATCATAAACCAGCTTTAATATAGTGACAGATTGCCATCAATGTTAAAGATTTACATCTTTCAGCTTCCACAAGTGCTAGAAGCAGTGGAGCTCAACTGCCAAGTAATCCTGGGGGTATTCCATAGTGTGTGCAGAGACTGTGGGGTTGTTGCAATCCATGAAGGCAAGATGGTACTCCAGAAAGTATCTTCCTGCATACTTGTATACCTCTCCAGTTAAGTTCAAATACAGCTGTTCCAGTAGTTGTAGATTTAAGGGCAGGGCTGTGGTGTAGTGTTTAGTGACATGTTGTCTTTAGAAAATTGTCTTATTTTGTTGCTGACTCTTTGAACACTCTTCCCTCCCCCCCTGAAGACAATGTGGAGTGCTGTGAAGGGTGTCCTGTACTTGTGAAATGAGCCTTTGCTGTTTATGTAAGCACATTTTTTCCCCCTTAATGGGAATGTTGATTTCACTAATGGTGTGCAGTCCTGTGACGGATTGAGGACAGTGTATGTTAAAGACATGTGTGCCACGGCTTGGCTTTTTCCTCAGCCCTTCTTTTCAGGTTGTGTGTCAGCAACAACTACCTTGGTCTTTGAGTACTTGGATTGCTTTCACATGGATGGACTAAGATGTTGCAAGTTCCTTGGTGAGGGCAGAGTTGTGGGATGTGTGGATCACAACCAGTGCTTACTAGGACACCTTGTATTAATTACGCTATCATTAATAGCAGCAGCTTGCTTCCATTAATGGCAGGTAACTGTTCATACCATGCAAGCCGTTGTTCCCAAACACGCATTCTCACTTCCTGGGTTGGAACAACAGTGAGGAGACCTCCATGGAAGTAGCACAGTGTACTGAGGCACCAACAGCTACTGTCTGGGCATTCAAAATAAATCTCTCAAGGTGCTCTTTCATCAGGTGTGTCTGTAACCCTGCACTCACTGCCTGTCTTTAGCAGCTGCTGCTTTCTTGCATGCAGTCTGTTTTTTAGCACGGTGTTGATGATGGTGGTGTGTGCTGGTGGCCTGGGACAGAGTGAGGAGAGTCTTGGTGTTCTGGGTTTCTTGATTTTCCTGTGTTCCTCTGGACCAGCAGTTTTGCGCTTACTAGTTCTTGAGAGGCTTCCATGCTTTATCAGCATCTACTGCTCCTTCCCTATTTCTCCATCTCTCCAGCTTGCTGTTTGCTGGTGGCAGGATCATGAACTACACACAAATTTAGAGTCTGTAAAGTCCATTCATGCATTGTGACAGGCATTTGCTTATTTCCCAAATAAGAAAAAACATTCTGGGAACAGAAAAGATTATATAGCCTACAGGTACAAACTCTGTCTTAAACTCTTAGACCCTAACAGTTCCTAATTGTAAAACTATGCTGTCTGGCCAGAAACCCTGACAGCACTGGAATTTAAGAGCACTGAGCCCTTTCAGACAGATTGTGGTTGTTGAAGCATGCTTCTTTCAGCTGGGCAAAGCCAGGAGACTGTTTGCTGTGCACATACATGACTGCATCCAATTTGAGAAGGAGTTGTATTTTAGAATACAGTGAATATTTTAAGTGAAGAATGAACTGGGGATCTCTTTCTGGAGGAAGAGTGCAGAGTTACCTAGTTAGCCCTGCACAAAAACATCTCCCAATAAAAGTGCTCCATATTCGCTCAGAGGTCAGCATGTAAGCTTCCTGAGAAATAACCGTAAAGGCTACTGAGCTTTTAATCCCCTTGTGTTGTAAGTTTCTGGAAAGTAACTTTCCAATATTCAGAATAAATACACTTCTTTCATTTTCAAGGCATTTGTGCATAGCACACTCTGTGGGAGCTTGTGATCAGAGTCAAATAGTACAGCTGTGTATCTAGACAAATGATTGCTAATATGGTCTTGTGATGGTTGGCTTTCCAAGAAGCAAGAGCAATGCAGTCATCTGCCTCTTTGAGTGTAATTGCTTTAGGCACTGGTAAAGGTTATCTGCTAAACTGAAGCTCTGTGCATGTCCCTGATTTCCTAGCCCATGTTATAAATGTTGATGGTGTGAAGATTGTAGAGTGTTAGAAGAAGTATTAATTCACCATGTCTTTTCTAAATCTCTTAGTTATGCAGTGTTTTTCAGCTGTTTTCATTTCGTTCTCTTTACAAGTCCATAAGATACACTCAAAGCAACCCCCAAACAAAAGTCTGAGCTGTTGCATTCTGCTAAGCATGTTTAACAAAGTGTCTGGTATTACTAAAAAAGCTCTGATATTGCATAAAGTAGGTTAGAATTCAGAGGTAAAGCTATTAAGTACAAACATTAGCATCAAAGCAGCTGTAATGAAAGAAGAGAAAGCTAAGGTAGCACACTGCATTTGCTGAGCAGTGAATCTCTACAGGGGTGAACTGGGTTTAAAGAAATGTAAATGGGCACAATATAATTTGTTTATATGCTCATAATAAACAAAAAGCAAACCCTCCTCTCTTTTCAGAAACTTTTTCAGTAAAAGGACAAAGGAACTCAAGCCTGCTGTCCAAAGCGCTCCTGGTTGGAAGTTGTTTGGAAAAGTCCCACCCAGGGAAAACCTTCCGAAAGACTCCAAAATTATTCAGCAGGTGAGTAGACATCGCACAACTCTGGGTTCAAACCTTGTAAAAATAAGACACAGGTATTGCATTTCTCTGCTGTTCCCTCCACATTGTTGTTCTACAATAATAAAGTGTTCTGAGAAGGCTTTTGGGGCTTTGTTTAAAGCATAGTAGTTACTAAGGAGTTTAAGTTTTATGAGTCTCTAGTACATTCTTCAGTGTATCTCAGTGCTTATAAAAATTGATACATGTTCAAAAAGCATTTAAGCTGGTTTTGTCAAGACATCAGAACTTGTATTAATTTTCCATAAAACTTTTCTCTTACTTAATATGATATGCTGCAATCTAACTTGTTTTTCCATAGTCATACTTGCCTGGAAGACTTCCTATGTGGGTAACTTGTGGCAAATTGCTTAGAATTCTGAAACATGTCATCATCTTTAAAGTTTTTATCTCAATCCAAGTCTTTTGTTCCAAAATAAGCTGTAAACTTGTTTTGGAGTTATTGGGGTACTTCAGAAAGGTAACTCTGATTTCCTTCCTCTTACACAAAGTTGCACTTCCATAAAATAGACTCCATGGGAACAATCTTTGATAAAATGGTACTAAAAGGTCATAGTCTATAAAGGTGAGTACTTGGCAATGTATCATTGACTTAATGTTAACGTTCAAACCGGAAATTGAAAGATTTGTTGGCATAGGAAATGTGAATGTCCCTTGTGTTGGTTAAAACAGGAACTTGAATCTCTCGAGAGCTGCTTTCTCTGTCTCCTTTCTTAAATTCCATGTAAGCTGATGTGTTTGGCAGGTGCAAATGACTGTGAATGAAACAGTGTTCAGTCATCTTCTAGAAAGAGCTTCATGGCAAAAAGGGCCTTTTGGGAGCAATGAAAATTAAAAACAAGAGGTTCTTTTTGAAGGACGTCAATGTAATGGGTCTTATCACACAATAAAATGTTGTAGGAAAATGATGAGATCACACAAAGTGCAATTTGGGAGATCGAAACTATATGACCTTCAAAGTCTCTTTCAACCCAAATCGTTCTATGATTTACTGTGAAACAAACTGAATGCCTTTTTTACATTTTCAAACGCAATTCTTTTATTTAAATGGTTTCCCTTTTTGGGTGGGAAAAGGCAAGTGGTTTTGGTTTACTTGCAGATGAATGCTGTTGGCCTTGTGCTATGAAAACGCTATGGTAATAGTCCAGATGTCTTTTCCATCCTGAGAAGTGGAGAATCTGCACAATGCTACCAGTTATCTGCTGATTGTTTTCTAGTAATGAAGATATTTGTTCTGGAGACCAAGTCATAATCGTAGAATCATGGAATGGTTTGAGTTGGAAAGGACTTCAAATATCATCTGGTTTCACCCGTCAGCCATGGGCAGAGATACCTTCATATAGACCAGATCCAGCCCTATCCAACCTGGCTTTGACCACTTCCAGGGATGAGCCATCCACAGCTTGCTTGGGCAACGTGTTGAAGATAATAATCTGAAGAAATAGTCCTATTTTCTTACCTTGTCCCTCAGTGATTGTGTTTGTTTTAAACTGCAGTGTTCCCACTTTTTTAAGTTCTCCAATGTGGCAGAAAAGCAAATGTATTACAACAATGTACTGTCTTTAAACATGACTGAGATGGTTCCAGCCACTCATCATGTGCTTTGTGTTATAACATTTGCCAGATTACAGTCACTGTTGGATTTCCATAATATTGAGTAAGGTGTCAGTAATAGCTAATAGTTTTAGCTTTCAATTGTCTAAAGTATGCATAGTCTTTAGGTAAAGCCTCATGAGTTAAGATATGCAGTTATCAAAGGGTGATCCAGATTGATGGCGCACTCTGCACAGTTAGATCTACAATAACTAAGAAAATATGGTCTTAAATTGAGACATGACCCTGAAGCCTCTGTATTTAGTATAAGTAAAATGTCTTACATGTGTGTTTAAAATTTACAAAACAGCTCCTTGTGCATATGTCTTTGAAGAAAATCCAATGGGTTTTTTTCTCAAAAAATGCTCAAACTGGCTAAGCTGGTGATGGATTAGAATGAATATAGTCACAGTTGGTTATTGAAGGTCAGTGGGAAATAGCATCTTGACTTTTAAAATGGGATTGGAGTCCCTAGACTAATTGCTTACTATGCAGTGAAATCAATATAGGCAAGAATGCAGTTACAAGGCCTTTCAGAAGTTGATAGAAATGTGATTAAAGCTTAGTGTGTTTTGTTCACAAGTGATTCTGTGAACCTGGCAGGTTACTTCATAACTTACATGGAGGGTCTCTGCAAACTGGCACTTTGACTTTCTGAACTGAAGTGAGGATCAAATGTGATCTGAAACACAACCCTGCATTTTAAACCCTTTTTTTTTTTTTTTTTTTTTTTTTTTTTTTTTTTTTTTTTTAGCCATCTGTGATCAGAAACCATGGCTACTTACTGTTAGCCAGCTTTTGTAAAATGAGCTTTAGGTGTAAGCCTGCAAGTAGAATGGGCTTAAGCTGTAGCAAATCTGCCTGTGAGGGAGTTTATGGTAGTTTATTATTAGCAACAAATCTTGCCATTCCTTAACATTATTCTCCATGGTTGAACACTATTCTTTCACTTTCTGATGCCAGTGGCCAGCTTTGAGAGGGTGCAAATAAACCCTTGATTAAGGAAACTCAGTAATGAGTCAGCATCCTTCAGACAAAGAATGAAATCTCCAAGAGCCCTGCTGCAAGAAGAATTAACTCACAACAGGAAAAAACTTTGTCATTAATAGGAGGAGGAAGTCTTTTGGATAAGGGTAATACTTACATCAAAGCTTTATGGCAATATAATGAACCTTAAAAGGACTTTCCTATTAGTAAAAATAGACAAATTGCATCATTGTAGATTTATAGCCAAAGGCTGGTAGAGCTCGTGCCCCATTTCCATCCTGGCTGATGGAAACTTCCTTTGTTACCTTAGTTATGGCAAGGATGACATAGTAAATGGATAATTACAGTTAAATGGATGCTTGTGGCTCCCAGCCACTGTCTGTCAACTGGACAGTGCTATATATGCCTATTCAGAGGAGTCAGGTAGTGATTCTAACATCTTGAATAACCTCCAGGAATATCTGGAAACTCAGTTTGGGATACAGTTTCAGACATTTTTCAGACAAGGATGTTAGCCAGCTCTGCCCTCAGAGACTGTCTAATGAATATTACTGTAAATAACTTCTTTGCAAGCTTCTTAGCATATGTAGAAGAAGATAAATATTTTTGTGGTAAAGCAGCCTGCAGGGCTCACCCACCTGGGGAGCAGGCAGAGTCCCTTGCAGCTGTGCTGCCATCAGCATGCTCTGGGCGAGATGCTCTCACTCAAACTGGGTCAGAGGTTGAAAGTTCTTGGCAGCTGCATCTCCCTGCTCACAGCTGCTGGCACGCTCATCCCTCCTTGGATTCAGAGCTGCCCAAGCAGGATGTGATTGAGGCCAACTCCTTTTGCTGGACATCTCCCTTCTCTGGGCTTCCTTCCTTCACTGTTTTTTAAAAAGGGAAAACAGCAACTCCCCAGGACTGCAAATGTCAAGTACATCTGATGGTTTTAGGAAGTATGTCTTTTTTTTCATGAACTGTAGCTAATAAAACTGGCTATTTTAAAGAAGTATTTGGTTATTAATGATCAGTTTGGTAAATCCTTTTCAGTCTGTACAGAAATCTGCTTTAAATTAGACTGCTGAAATATTTTAATGCAGAAGCATTTAAAGCAGAAACAGACTTGTGGGCTGATATATAACATTTTGGAATGTACTGACTAAAGTCCAAGTTCAGTTTAAAAATGCAAGCTCAATTTCAGGTTTTGTGCTTATAGTTAAAGAAAAGATCTTGTAACCTATGATCAGAATTATTCTAAAGTCATTAAGTTTAGCTCATTTTTTACTATTAAAGCAGTCTTGCATGTTTTTCATTTGTTTAAAGCAGTTTGGTGGGTTTTTTCTAATGTGCCTGAATTAAAGTAAACTCAAAATATGCAAATACATATTGCAAAATAATAAAAAAAAGTAAAACATACACCAAATGCACTTTATCAGCAGTTTTAATGAAATACTCTCGGCGGCAGCCTTAAATGAAGTGGAAAAAGAAGGCTTCTTTTCTATTTAAATCTGACACACCATGAAAAGCTTGCAGTGATTTAGAAATGATTGCTTATTCAGAAGTGAAGCCATCTTTTCCAAAAGCTGTCACCTTGTGTACAAAATGGAAGGTTTTAATTTTAGGCAGCCCATTAAACACTAACTTTGGGTCACTGTATTTGGACTAACCTCTGAAAATATGTTGGGGTGGCTCTGAAATTTTTTTTTTTAAAAAATAAATAAGTACTTGAGGGCTAAAAACCTGAGTGTTTTCACTTGCATATTTTTCTGATGTTGTTATATCCAGTCTGAAGTCTAATGGAGAAATTGTAATCACTGATTCGGCAGAATTCCCATGGTCTCCCCGGGACAAGGATTTGCAGAGGCTTCTCTTCAGAGAACAGATGCATTTTGAATCAGTTTTCATATGACTCAAACCTTCTAACTTGCGATGTTAACTCTTTCCTCCAATCTTGATTGTTGCATTTTAAAAGTGCATGAGGCTCTTAATGCTGCTGCTGCTGCTGTGTATGGTGTATTTGTAAACAAACCTAAGGACTGATTATCTGAGGGAAGGTGTACAGTGCTAGATGCTTTTTCACAGGAGTAGTTCTTAAGCAGATTATTATTTAGAGGTCACGTTGGTTTGCCTTGCACTGCTGCTGGAGAAAAGAGAAAGGCAAGACTCTACCTGTTTACAGATACAGTGTAGAGGGACATTGGTAACAAACGGTCTTGAACCCAGGACAGACCGTAAATGAGGGGACTAGGTCTTGCAAGCAGCATCTAACACTCAAATAACAATTTGACCTACTAGCAACAGTGAGAAGGCTGTGATGGTTTTCTTTGTAGATGTAGAGGTTCAGATTCTCAAGAAATGTCCCACGTCGTGCCAGAATCACGTGTAGTCAGTAAAATACCTAT